AGCGCAAAGAAAGTTCCAGGAATATGGGCAGGGTCCCAGTTCTTGTTTTCTTCACTTCTGAGCTCGCCGTAATTGGACCCTGGCCACGGACGGAAGCCACCTTCCGGCAGTTGGCAGCTGTAGACCCATTCGATGTGCCCACGACGCTCCTCGGCTGACAAAGCAGCGTCTAAATCTCCCAGAATGTCGAGAGCGGACACGGTGAAAAGGGCCAATAGCATGCGGTTGGAGTCATTGCTGGTGTAGAAGTGCGGCAGCAGAGTCTTCAGGTTCCGCCGCCAGTACTTGATGTGGCGGGCATAGTTGAGTTGTGTGTTGGCATCAAAGGCAGCTGGAGCCATGATAGGGAGAAGAGGTGCGTGGACCCGGGGGCGTTTGCCGAGCGAGATCTCGGTCCCGCTGCGAGGCGTGAGTTTTGATGGCGGGGCTGACCTGGACGGCCAAGGCGAATGTTTGCGCAGAGTATGTCAGACGGATGAATGATTAGCGGAGACTTGACTTTCTCCTGAATGGGCCTGTAATAAGGCTTATTCCGCGTGCAGGGTTAGTCAGGCAGTGATGACGGAGCCCCGCAGACGTCGCGTCTGTCAGTGTTCGGAGCAGCAACTTGTCGATTTAGGGGACCTGGCAGGGCGACAGCATTAGCCCAGCGACTGGCGATGATGCATAGACGGTAGTAGGCGCGGGCTCGGACTAGTCTACCACATCGTATGCAGGGGCCGCGCTTGGGGGTCGGTGAATTGCGTGGGTATTTATATCGTCCGCTAAAGGCGAAATGTCGGAAGCGCGCAAGATTGGTAGGCTTGCCTGACGGTGCCAGGGCTGTCACGACAAACGGCCACATGCAGGGGTACATGAGACATCGTTCAGCTCTCAGCTCTTCTGCAGTCGTGCCCCAGCTGCGGCCTGCAAAACCCTCCTGACACCGACGTGCCTCAGTCAGTCACTGCCCTCGCTTCCCCGACGCCGCCGCCGCCGCCCGTGTCGAGTACCACTGGCCTGCGCCCACTCACGACGCACTGCCCGTTACGCGAGTAGCCTCTTTGTAGGGCGACGTCACCCACGCTCGAGCACCGGGCCTGCGCTTGCGTGTTCCCCAGACTCACTTCTCCGCGCGCTCACTACGGCCGTTGACCGACCACACCCGTACCAGTACCCAACTTGGTTGTTTCTTTTTGATACCCCACTTCACACGCCGTCATGACGACGGGTTTTGCGGCCTCTTTTTGGTCGAGCGACTATGCCGGAGGTAAGCTGCAGGCGCACCCAACACCACCCCGCGCGGGCTAACTCTCGCAGGCTTGGGCGTCCTCTTTGGCAAGCTGCAGCAGGGCGTGCAGGAAAACCAGCAGATTCTGACCGTGGCCCGCATGCGAGCCGATGCCGAGGAGGCCTACGGAAACAGCCTGTCCTCGATTACACCAGCCACAGATCGCATAGGCGGGGGCTTTAGCAGAGATGAGGGCGCAAGCGTGCGCAAGGTGCGTGAGCAGGAGACGCGGCGACAACTCCAGGCTAACTGGTACTAGGCCTACGAGGGCGTGCGCACCGAGATGGAGGCAGCGGCCGCAAACCACAAGAAGATTGCGTCCAACATCCGCGAGCTTGTCGTGAACCCATTCGGCCGCTGGTGCGAAGCGCATGCCGCCCGCGTGCAGAACTCCCAGGACGACCTCCAATCGCGCATCAAGATCCACGACCGACAGGCCGATGCTGTCCGCAAGTACCGATCGCAATACTACAACAAGTGCCGGCTCGTCGAAGATCTGGAGGAGGAGGACAAGCTTGCTTTCCAGGACCCCCAGAGCGAGGCCGCACAGAGCCCCAAGATGAAGGTGCCCACCATAAAGATGTCGGAGCCGGAGAATGAGGAAGAGGAGCCCATTGATCTTGGTGACGAGACGTACCAGCCCGACCAGATCAAGAAGATCCTCACGCACATGCTGGACAACATCAAGATTGCAGAGGTCAAGGTTCCCATTCTCGGCACCTACCAGAACTGCTCAAGCGGTGCCGATATCACCGAATACATCCAGAAGCACATGGCAGCAACCACCGTGAGCTATGCCGAGCGCATTGGTCAGGACCTGGTAGCACACGGCTTTCTGCGCCTAGTGGGAAACGTGGGAAACACATTCGCCAACAGCTCCCGCATGAACTACCAATGGAAGCCCAAGACGTTCCAGGTGACTGGACTGCCTGAGAAGAAGCAGCCTCTCGCCCGCTCTTCTACCGCTATGTCTAGCTCCTCAGCCGACAGCATTGCCGTGGACTCGCCCGTCTCGACCGTGCAGGAATACCTCCAGGGGTGGAACCCGCTCAACAACCAGTACCCGAATGAGACACCAGCAGAGAGGCTCAGGCGGGAGGCACACGAGTCCGATGAGCGCTACAAGGCATCAGTCAAGAAGCTTGACTCGCTACGATGCAATCTGGAAGAGGCTATGGTGGACCATCTCAAATTCATGGAGCGTTGCGAATTGGACAGGCTGAAGGCTATCAAGGCGGTTATCTTGGATTTCTCTGGCGCTGTCAGCAACGTAATTCCTAGTCTGCAGAGCACCGTCGACAAGATGATGCTGTTCCAGGAGACAGTTCAGCCCCTAGGCGATCTCCGATACATGCTCGAGAACTACAGGACAGGGCCATTCGTGCCTAGAGTCACGACTTATGAGAATTACTACAACTCAGTAGACGGTACGTCACAATGTATATCGAGATGCAACTGTATACTAACAAACACAGAACAAACATTCGGTGTAGATTTGGAGGCTCGGGCTCGTTCAGACAAGAAGCGTGTTCCGGTACTCATTACGACAGTTCTCACCTTCCTAGACAACCACTACCCCGACTTGGAGGGTGACGAAGCACGCCGTGGCATCTGGCTCGTTGATGTTCCTCTGGCGCAGACTCACACCCTCCGAGCTGAGATCAACACTGGAAAGAGGTTCCCAGATGAACTACTCGAGAAGTACGATGTACCGATTGTTGCGAGCGTCCTCAAACTCTACCTGTTGGAACTTCCTGGTAGGTGTCAACTCTGCATCATCAGATCCTTTGCTAACTGTAATAGACTCACTGGTTTCTTCTCACGTCTACGAGATTGTCAAGACCATCTACAGCACCACCGCTACAGATGTCTCTGAAGAGACTCGGGTCTCTGTTCTGCAATCTACCCTTGGCCAACTCCGCCTCGCTAACATCGCAACGCTCGACGCGATTTGCACACACTTCACTCGTCTCATTGAGTTGACATCGGCCGACGAGACTTATGTTACAGCACTGGCCAATGCACTCGCGCCATGCATCCTAAGACCAAGGCAAGAATCGAGTTTGACGATGAACGAGCGCTACAGCTACCGCCTCGTCCGTGACCTATTTGCGCACAAGGATGCCATTTTTGGAGAGTTGAAGCGCGCGAGCACGCTCACCCACTCAGCCTCGGGCGCACAGCGACCACGCGCGATCTCGACGGATGAGAGCAACCGACGAGCAAACATGGAAGAGCGCCAACGAGCCATCGCAGCTCAACGCTCTCCTCGTGCGGTATCACCAGCACCTGGTTCGCGTGTCTCCGGCTCGCATCGCCGTGACCGAAGTCAGACTCGATTCCCCGTGAACACATCGTCACCAACCGAAACGCGAAGGAGCAAGGGAGATCGTGGTTCTCTTGAAGTACCTGGAAGCGACGACAGCCCTACCAACGAAGAAGTCACTGCAACCACTAATGGTACAACAGAGCCTGAAACTGTTTCTGTTCCTGTTCCTGCTCCCGCCGAGCACCCAGCGCCATCAAGTACCCGGGTGCCTTTCCCACGGAAACATGCAGGCAGCTTGACGAGGGGCAATCGGGACTCTACCGGCAGCTTGAGGAACGACGACACAGCAGCGCCAAGAGGTGTCACGCTGGAAGACAAGCCCATGGACGACTAGTGGTAGACATGGCCTAACTCCAGCAAGCATCTTGGCTAGGAAATGAAATAGGAAGCCTACACCGCCCGGCCCGCCCAGAGACTCCCATGTATACTAGAAAGTAACACACTGGGAAACTAGCTAGGGACCCTGAGAGCGAGGTAGCATGACGGGCAGTCGCACGGCACCTGTGGAAGAGTGAACAGCGTATGTGAAGGCTGTATGATATTTCGGGACGGGAAAACTGGCGGCATGTCTGATGGTCGTATGTGAAATGCAGCATGATAATCACGAGTGTAGACGGCTATTGCAATATGAAGTTTATCTACTCTGCCCTGCTTGTTGACATTGGCGGCTCCGTCCGTACCTGAGGCTAACCAGGGTGACCAGGACGCTAGCACTACTCAGCTGTCAGAAAAGCCCAGACCCCATCGTCACACTCGCATGCTGAGTTCCAAGGCGGAGCAGCATGGAATCGACATGGGGGTCAGCTGTGTGGCTGGGCACCGGCTGCCCGATCTGTAGGACATATACATAGCCTCTGGTGACCTTTTCATGTGCCGCTCATTTTGCGCCTGTCTACCCATCTTCTCCAGCTGTCGTTGCGCTCGCTGAGCCTCTCACTCAGTCGTGGTGCGCCCCGTCCCGCCCTCGATCGAACCCCACGTTGATCGTCGCGCGAATCACATCGCGATCGCAGTCGCAGCTTCCCACTTTTTGAGGCCTCGCTGTCACTGCATACCCTGCCGAGGGTGAAGGCGCCATGTGTCTGGTCAAAGTCAAGCCGGAAGAGGACCACATTGTCCCTTACCGTGTCGTCCAGCGGAACCGCTCCCCGCCCCGTCGCCGCGCATCACGCCAGTCGCGCGACATCGAGCGCCGCTATTCGCGCACCGAGATTGTGCACGAGGCTTCTCCACGGCCCTCAGCATCCTACGTCGCGGTGCCCTCGCCAAAGCCTCTCCAGATTCCCGCACCGCAGCCTGTGCCTGTGTTCGTGCAGCCTCCTCCCCCGGCGCCCATGCCGGCTCCACCTCCACCGCCTAGCCACATCTCATCTCACCATTCGCACCACACCCAGTCACGCCATGGCGGTGCGCACTACGTCGAAGTCTCGCCCAGGTCTAGCATGAGTTCTCGTTCATCGAGCCCTAGCCGCAGCGAGTATGTGTATACAGAGCGAGAGGTCAGGCGTGAGCGCGAACGCAACTACAGTCCAGAGAACCCTCGCTACGAGCATTACAGATATGTGGAGCCTGCTGCATCGAGCGAGAGCGATCATTACGAAAGATACCAGAGGCGCGACAGGAGCAGACAGCGCAGTCGCAGTCGGGGTGGTTATGAAGACCCCAGCTATACGGAGACTAACACCAGAGTTGCGTACAGGCAGAGATGAGTGTCTGTTTGGGAACCCCATTTTTGTTGGCTTACGATTGATATCACTACTTATGTCTTGAAGGACCTGCAGCATCTGTTCATAGTTATGGTGCGGTTGTCTATAGCTTTTTATCCAAACTAATTTACTTTCACGTTCAACTGCTCGTGCTATGAGGTCACTAGTTATGTTGCACCTGGACGCGATGCACGAACCAGCAAAGACGTCGCGCCGCACTTTCCGAGACGCAGAGAATCAGCTCCACATGTTTCTCAGCCCAAGTGTCGAGTTCTGGCTGCCGGCGTACGCCTAAGCGATAGTCAGGGCAGCCTTGTAAAGCATCGGGCACCAGTCGAGTGGTGTACATCTAGGGTTGCGATCAGCATCCAGGCCAACATAATCCTGCGCGCTGAGAGCAACCGTCATACTTGCGCAAACGCTTTGACTGCCTTGACGTGTAGCAGAACCCCGAGCATGATCGAAGCACCCGCGCATTCCTCCTCCGCCCCCGTCCACCTCCGACCATGTCTATCCGTGTCCTGATCAAAGATTACCCACACCGCGCAATCGCCCTCGCGACCTCGACCCACGCCCTCGTCCTCCGACACAGCTCATCCACCACCGAACAGTCGGGGAACCCCAATGCCTCGTCCACGTCACTGGGGAGCAATGGCGCCGGCGTCGCGCGCTGCATGGTCGAGTTCACCCGGTTGGAGGAAATCGATCTAGAAGACTACCGCGCGCTGCATTCGGTCAACGTACACGGCACACTGGGCTTGATCACCGTCAACAGCGATGTCTTCCTCGTCGTCGTCAATGGCGCGAGCAAGGTGGCGACAGTACGGCCTGGCGAGACGGTGCAGAGGATATACTCGGTCGGCTTCTACTGCCTGACCAGCACAAGCTACGATACCCTGCTCAACGACGAAGTCAACCCCTACCCCACGGATACAATCGATGACGAAGGATATGAGATGGGCTTCGGTGGCAGGAAGGAGCAATCGCCCATGGAACACCCGTGTCTGGCGCTCAAGAAGATCCTCAGCAGTGGAACCTTCTATTACAGCTCAGACTTCGACCTCACCAGACGCTTACAAGACCGCACAACCGATGCCGCAACCGTTTCTATCGACAGTCTAGACGCTGGCTTTCTATGGAACTCATACATGATCCAGCCACTGGTGGACTTTAGGAGCCGCCTTGCGCCGAGGGAGAAGGACGCTTTGGATGCTTCCGGGATCTTGACATCTGCCATCCGCGGTTTCGCACTCACCATTACGATTCCCAAGTCTTCGGCCCCCATCAGGGTACAGGATTCCGGCATGCCGTCGTCCATGACGCTCATCTCAAGATTATCCTGCAAGCGGGCGGGCACAAGATTCAACTCGCGAGGTATCGACGATGATGGGAATGTCGCAAACTTTGTGGAAAGCGAAACAATATACTGGGCGCCGTCGGGAGCTTGCTTCTCTTATGTGCAGGTGCGAGGAAGTGTACCCATCTTCTGGGAACAGCAGGCTGGTCTCCTCCCAAACCAACAAAAGATTACCATCACCCGGTCGCCGGAAGCTACACAACCCGCCTTTGACAGGCACTTTGATAATCTGGAACTCAGCTACGGCACAACTCATGTTGTAAACCTGCTGAGCAACGAAAAACAAAACGAGTTAGAGTTGACGCATAGATATCGCGGGCATATCAGGAATAGCCCGTTGAACCAAGGAAGCAATCTCAACGACCGACAGCATGACCTCATCAAGCTTACGGAATATGACTTCCATGCCGAGACACGAGGACCCGGTGGCTATGAGATGGCTAGTATGATTGCTCAGTGGATCCAAGGTTCTGCTGAAGGATTTGGGTACTATCTCTCTGAAGATGTGGAAGAAGTGGCCAGACACAATGGAGAAGACTACGCTGTCCGCCGGACAATGAGCATACTGCAGCAGGAGGGAGTCTTCCGAACAAACTGCCTGGATTGCCTTGATCGAACGAATCTCGTGCAAACCATCATCAGCAAGATGGCACTCGAAATCTTTTTGAGCCACAAAGGCCTTCGAGCCAGTCAGGACTTCTGGGTCAGACATTCAAGTATGTGGGCAGATAATGGCGATGCTCTTTCAAAGATCTATGCGGGAACTGGAGCGCTGAAGTCCTCATTTACGCGATCTGGAAAGATGTCGCTTGCCGGTGCTCTGGCAGACGCTCGTAAGAGCGCCACCCGAATGTACATTAACAACTTTGCGGATAAAGGGCGACAGAACACCATTGACATGCTCCTTGGAAGACTGATTGGCCAGGTTCCAGTGCATCTCTATGACCCGCTCAACGACTATGTGGTCGCAGAGCTTGCGCGACGATCTGCGGAGTATTCGGAGACCGAGATGATCAATATTCTTGTCGGAACATTCAACTTGAACGGAAAAACGAGTGGCATAAAGAGCGATCTTTCGCCCTGGCTATGCCCGGATGTCGATCCATCACAGCAGTGCCCCGAAATAGTGGCTGTAGGCTTTCAAGAGATTGTCGAATTAAGCCCTCAACAAATCATGTCGACAGACCCAGACAGACGCGAGGCTTGGGAGGAAGCTGTCAGAATGTGTCTCAACAAGAATGCCGAGAAGCACAGAAAAGACGAGTATGTTATTCTAAGAGGTGGCCAGTTAGTGGGTGCGAGTTTGTCGGTCTTTGTCCGGGCCGACTGCCTTACGCATATCAAGAACGTCGAAGGCGCTCTGAAGAAGGTATGTCCACATTTACTGCATCTTTACCTATTGCGCTAAAACATACTCCAGACTGGCATGTCCGGTATGGCTGGTAACAAGGGAGCCGTAGCTATTCGATTTGAGTACGCCAATACCTCGATCTGCCTTGTCACGGCCCATCTCGCAGCTGGTTTTGCCAACTACGAAGAGCGCAACCGCGACTACAAGACTATCAGCCATGGCCTACGCTTTCAAAGGAACCGATCAATTGAAGACCACGACACTGTAATATGGCTCGGCGACTTCAACTACCGGATTGGCCTGAATAATGAGAAGGTGCAACGGCTGTGCCATGTTGGTGACCTCGAGACCTTGTACGACAACGACCAGGTAAGTAGTCACGTTTTACTTGCATGTACCATAGCTAACCAAAAGCAGCTTAATCTGCAGATGGTAGCTGGCTTGACCTTTCCGTACTACTCCGAGGCCCGCATCACTTTCCCGCCGACTTACAAGTACGACCTCAACAGTAACCAATACGATACATCCGAGAAAGCGCGCATTCCCGCTTGGTGTGATCGTGTACTTCGCAAGGGTGATAACATCCGACAAATCCACTACAACGATGCACCACTTCGTTTCTCTGACCACCGACCGGTCTATGCTACGTTCCAGATACTGGTGCAAAGGGTCGATGAAAAGAAGAAGGATGCCATGAAGGCTACTTTGTACAAACAACGAAGAGAAGTGGTTGGCGATACCCACGCTGCAGGCCGTCTGGGTGATGATGAGACGGACGACGAAGATCTGCTTGGGTACGATAGCATTGAGCCAGGATTGCCACCTGCAAGCTCAGATCGGAGGAAGTGGTGGCTCGACAACGGTACTTTTATCATCTTTCCCGCTATAGCTTGGATACTCATATTCAATAGGTTTACCAGCGATAGCACGCGTGGAACCGCCATCTAATAACCACTTTCCAAACCCGAATCGACCCAGCAATCCGTTTACGCCTAGTCCAGAGCCAGACTGGATAGATGTTCGGCATATGCCGAGCAGTCGCAGACCCGAGCCACCACCAGCACGCGGCTCACAGAGAGCACGCACAGTCGACTTCAACGGCCCCTCGACCAGTTTACCACCAACGCAGAAGCCCGCGGCTCGTAAGATGATCGCTCCGTTGTATCCGGGTCATGCCACTCAAATCCTCGGTTCAGACGGTACGCGAGATTCGCTCAGCGACCTCCGCCGCAGCGGCTCAAGCGCGTCTACACACTCCCTTCCCAGCAGCCTACCTTACCGCGCATCAAATACGCTGCCCCAAACACAATCCTCCAGCAAACCACAAGTCCTCCGCAAACCAGCACCACCTCCAATCCCCAATAAGAAACCCGCTCTCCTTTCTAAAGGTTCCTCTCCAGGACCAACCTTCGCACCCCCTCCACAACGTTACCGTGATGATCCCCCGGAAGAAGAATCGAGGGCATATCCTCCGCAGTCAACCAGACGCTCCATGGCTCCGCCTCCTCATCTGACCAGGAAACCAGTGCAAAATCTTATTGATGATGACGGTGACAAGCCGGCATTGCCGCCGCGCACAGGAAGTGGTGGGAGTAGTAGGAGGAATTTGATGGACGATGAGCCGGACGATATGCGTAATATGGGGGATTGGGAGGTGCTTAGACCTGTAAGGTAAACTGAGCTTAGCGAATGCGGATAGAGAAGGACTTGGATTGATATTTTGGTCTTTGGACACTATCCGTACAGCACCGGATGATCCTCAAACCCACGTGCCCGCGTCCAACGCCTGAGTACTCTAGGAAAGTACATAGGTAGAATGCGATCACGAAATGAGACCATGTTGCTTAGCTTAACTTGCTCGTAATGATCTCATGCTTCGATCTAGTATGAACTACGCTGTTGGGTGACTGTACGCGAGTTGTGACAAGAATTGATGCGACTCCCTGTTCGAGTCACGCGACGACGCGTGCGGTCGCGTCAGCGCTAACCCCATTGACACGCCTCACGAGCTCCACTCACACACCACCGGCCTCAAACAACGCGCCTACGCATGCCATGCATGCGCCTATAACGGCATGAAGAGAAAACGTAGCGCCCATAACTGTGCGGGCGTCCGCAAGAAAGCAAAGGGCGCCGATGACCAATCCACCAAGGCCACCACTGTTAATGCTACTCATCCAGTCCTACAACGCCTCTATCCCGAAGTCCTTACTCTGCGCCAGTATCTGCTCTCTCGACTCCCAGGCTCGTCGAAGAATAGGTACCGAAAGCTTTCGCAACTTGGACATGCCATACCCGCTGGAGACAAAAACACCGCGGACGACCTTGACAATGCCGTTGTGCAGTTGCTCGACTCAGCACTGGTATGCAATCCAGGCGTCCAACTAGAAAAGGACAAAACAACGAGTATCACCGAGGAGCGTGAAAAAGATATCGAAGTCTTCACCCAACAACGATCGCAAAGCACTCCGGGCGGTACCTTCAAGCCGGGATACTACAGGCAATCCGAGGTAGGTCATACGAAGCATCGCCTCCTCATAGTGTTCCGCTCAAAGAACTACGACTAAGTATGTCCAGATTGTTGATTTCGTGATATGGCGCTTATTCAAGCGTTCAACATCTCACAAACCAGCACATCTACTCTGCTACGGCTTTCAAAGAGCTGCAGGCAGCAATCGCCGTGCATACAGGACCAGCGAGGATCCGAGTTCATCTATTCCTGGTCTGCAAGAACGCCTACCTAATAGCTACGCGAGGACGTTGAAAGAGCCAGTATGGTGCCGATTGCACGCATTGCTCGGCCAGGGCGGGGACCGCATTATGATGGACATGCTTCTAGAGTGCTCCATATTCATCTTGGTCAGTGCTGATATGGGCAACTACTATCAGCTCTCTGGGGTTCCTGTGCATGAGGTGAAGTCGGATGAACCTCAGAAGAGCAACATCGCAAGAGTCAACGCGGATAAGGAAGCGCCCACCAAACCTTCACAGCTCAAGATTGAAAGCAAAAAGCCTGGTGCTATTACATTTGTGCGCAGTCGCATGCTTTACGCGAAAGCAGCGCTCAATGCGAAAGGTGGTGTGAGATTTGGCATGCGCCACATTCGTGCGTTGTCACTGTTCTTCGAGTACTTTATTGGAGCTAACCATTTATAGATGTTCTCAATCGATTAACTGATCGAAAAGACAAACAAGAGACAGTACATGCCATGCGGTATATCTTCCCGCGTCAGTTCGGGTTGCACAACGTCTTCACTTCCAAGGTGGATCATCGTGAGACAGCCATGCCGTTCAAAGACTACACGCTGCGCGAGAAGGATATACATACCGCCATGTGCCGGGAGCTAGGCCCCAAAGCGACGGACGCCCAGGAGATAGATAAGTGGAAGCAGCGAATACCAAAGAGACTCCGGGGTGACGCTGTTAAACTGGTGGACAAACTTCGGGTCCGCAACCAGCGGTGCTCGTATATGGAGATGCTGCGCCACTACTGTCCAATCGAGGTACTCTTCTCCATGACATGTATAGGAAAGTCTGCTAACTCAGATAGGGGGTACCCGTGTCAACGAAGCCAGATTGGAGGAAGAGCGCACTTCAGCCGAAGGCAGATGTACGATCAGTCGCAGATCCAGTCAATCGTCGCAAGAAAGCGCGACCTACACCTGGAAATCCCACCGTTCAAGAAACCTGTTTCACAGATCTGGCGTGTCCAGCAGCACACGTATCGGCCTTTTGCCGCGCAGTCATATCCAAAGTTATACCGGAAGGATTCTGGGGCAACGAGCATAACCAGCGCACCCTCATGTATTGGGTGGACCAATTCGTAGACATGCGCAGATTCGAATCGCTTAATCTACATCAGGTTACACAGAACATACAGGTACGTATTCCTCTACATTGAGCATGGAGCTATGCTAAGAGATCCTAGATCACGAACATAGCTTGGTTGCGCCCACCCAGCCAAGACGACGACACCAAGGTATCCAAGTCGGACATAGACAAGCGTACGGAGATATTTATCGAGTTCGTCTACTGGCTCTTCGACTCTTTCCTCGTTCCTCTGGTTCGCACAAACTTCCACGTAACGGAGTCCAACGCGCATCGGAACAGACTTTTCTACTTCCGCCATGATATCTGGCGGATGTTAACAGAGCCTGCTTTGAAGGAACTACGGATGAACATGTTCGAGGAGATGCCTACTGACAGTACGGAAAGACTGCTGTCCGCACGTCAGCTTGGTTTCAGTAACGTTCGTCTGCTACCTAAGAAACAGGGTTTCCGGACTATCATGAACCTCAAGAGAAGACAGCAGGTGATGCGATATGGGACTATGACTCTCGGACGAAGTATCAACTCGGTGATGACACCAGCTTTCAATGCAATTACTTATGAGAAGGTCAGTAGTCGCTCGAGGTGACAAATTTACCATGGCTAATTTGAATCAGTCGTTACGTCCCGATAAATTCGGCTGCTCACTTTTCTCCGTCGGAGATATGCTTCCCAAGCTTGCATCTTTCAAAGCATCGTTGCGACAGCGTGGGCTCGGCGACATTCGGCTTTATTTTGCTAAGGTTGATGTTCAGGCTTGCTTCGACACTATACCACAGTCACGCTTGCTGCGTATGATCGACAGTCTCATGTCGATCCAGGCTTACAACACCGGCAAACATGTGGAGATTTCACCCCTGGGTCCGCTACAGCGTCTCGGCGGTAAACATGTGGACCCGATGCCTCTCAAGAAGTACATACCGCATACTGAGGCAGCGACGAGAGTAACGCCTTTCCACCAACTCGTGCAAGATAGATTGGCGGGCACAAAGGCCAATACCGTCTTTGTTAATACCAACATGCAGCGGCGCGAGACCAAGGATGACTTGATGCAGCTCTTACAGGAGCATATCGAGAGAAATGTCGTTAAAATCGGGAAGCGCTTCTATCGCCAGAAGACTGGTATACCACAGGGCTCAGTCTTATCGAGCATCTTGTGCAACTTCTTCTACGCTCAATTGGAACGCGATGTGCTTGGATTTGTGCTTGATGAAGATTCATTGCTTCTTCGTCTGCTTGACGATTTCCTCTTGATCAGTATCAACGAAGAGTATGCTCAGCGCTTCGTACGCGTTATGCACAAAGGCCACCCGGAATACGGCGTAGTGATAAAGCCTTCAAAGTCGATGGCAAACTTCGATGTCACGACAGAAGAAGGAGACCGGATAGCGACAAGCGGCTCAGATGGTAAATTCCCGTATTGCGGCGTCTGTATCGATACGACGACGCTGGAAGTCAGCAAGAAAACAGAACGCCCTACAGAGACCGGTAGGTGGCATTGCGTGCACAATGTCTATTTGCGGCTTCAGATGCTAACCGCACCAGGTATTGAGGACTCTTTGACTGTAGATCTGACCAAAATGCCTGGCCAAACGTTCCATCGCAAAGCTCTGAAGTAAGTCTCGAAGATCGCGGTATGCACCGCCGGCCAATCGGGCCATGGACGGGGTGAAAAGTCCGACAATTTACTGATTTCTGATAGCGGATTCAAGATCCAGCTGAAGGCCATGCTGATCGATTCATCGTTGAACAGCGTGGCAACGGTACTAGCGAATTTGCATCAAAGCTTTCTTGAAGCGGCGGTGAGGTGCCTCGAGTACGCACGCGCGCTATCCAAGGTGCGAACGACGTGTTCGAATCTGCTTATCAGTACGTCTAAACTTTCCCGTTGCGAAGATTCCAACGCCCAATCCATCGATGCTCGTGCGGGGTTGTCCCGTGGGAGGGTGGGCGTGGTAATGAATGATGGTCTGATAGCACGAAAGCGAGCACGGCACACGCCACGAGCGATCGTGATTGCGCCGGCTACGCTAGCGAAGGAAATTGCTGACGGAGGGAACTGCAGAGACGGTAGACAACATGATTGCACTAGCCCATGTGATGCTACAGCGCCGTTCACGCTCGCGCGGCAGCAGAGAGGCAAAGATTGTGCAGGGCGTCATCTCGCGGCGGCAGCTTCAATGGTACGTGTGGCTAAGCTTCCGTGTTGCACAGCAAGTGGATGCACGATCTGCGATTTAGCTAGATCGCCTCCACGGTTTGCAAGATGACATGGCGGGGCTCGTATTACCGGTTTCCAACAGATGCTAATTGAAGGGATAGGCTGGCTTGTAAAGCTTTTCAGACGGTGTTTCAGCGCAAGCAGACGCAGCATCGCGCGCTGCTAGCCTGGCTGCAGACATGTCTCTCGGCAGCGCGCATGTCTGACATGGCGGAGCGACGCATGCTGGAGGAGGCAATAACTTGGCACTGAAAGCTTAACACGCTAGCAAAAGCGGGTTCCAGCGATAATGCAGTGGCTAGGCATATAGCGAAGATGTTGGGAGGTGCAGGTGTGGATGCGAGTGTGGTGACGGGATAGGAACTCGGGAAAAGCACTAAGGATCTGTGGCCGGGGGCCCACGCCGAGCGCCCACGTCTAGCGGCGGCATGTGGGCACGACTGCAAGCCTTGGGCCTTGGCTGCAGCACTGTCGGGAGTGACGGAAGGACTGCAGAGAGGATGATGTCGTTATGTCTTTTTCTTGCATATTGCAGCGCTGGTAGTACTGAGGCAAGGCGCGGTAGTGTATAGGCGGACCACTACTTGCTCCTGATAAGCCTCGCGTCGAGCAGGCGACAGCCCTCGACGGCACGCGATTGGCCCGCCGACGCTGGTATCGTGATGTCAAGCGTAGATGCGACGGCTGGGACACCAACCCCATCCCAAAGAAGCCGGGGTCGACTATGCAGGCTCGCAGCAGAGGGACAGCGTCGCAAAACGCCTGGCTAGGCGCATTGAACCAGGGTCGGGCTGGAGAAGCATACCTGCCTCAGTCGGCGCCGTATTGGTTTTGCGGTTTCAAGCACGATTGCATCTCACATATCGCCAGAACCTCGCCCTCTGCTCCCATGCCCGATCCCATTCCCAACGTAGAACCGACGGCTGCTTGCAATTAAACTCGACCAAGGCATCTTGCGCCGCTGACGGGTCCAGAGCACTGCGAGGCCCACCACTGGAGTCCATCCCTGTCCCCCGACATCAGGGGCTAGCGCGAGTTCCGCAAATTGCGTCGCCGAATCGACCAAGATGCCGGCGGTGCAGCATCACCAGCGACTGCCTCCTGTCTACGAAGCGGGCGATAGCGAAGACTGCGACGCCGACGTGCACTACATCTCGCCCGCCAAGTCGCTGTACATTATTTCCGCGCATAGCTATGTGCCCTCATTAATCAAAGCCCCTTGCGACCGCGACGACAGCTGGGCGAACCACGACCGACTGCCTCACCGCATTGGCACACCACTCCGCATCGACACCCAGCGACGACCGCCCCGACCGCTCATGGCCACCCTCACCTACGCCCACGATGCCCAGCAGACGTTTGGCGCCCCGCCCGGCAGCCCGCCGGACCTCACAAACTCAAAGTCGTCCAAGTCGTCGAGCATCCACTCGTCCACGCTGCTAGACTTCATGGGCACGACGGAGAACCTCTCGCACTTTGAGGACATCAACCTCGACGAAGCATCAGGTGGGCCCTCCTCCTTCCCCGTGCCGGCGAGCCCGTCTAATCGCGTCCTCTTCGAAGCCCCGCGCGCCTCGCTGTCCACGAGGAGCCTCCCGCACTCGCACTCGGCCCACTCCTTCCGCGACCTGACGGGGGCCACCAAGCAAAAGTACCCGAGCCTCAAGGGCCAGGTCAACCACGCCGTCCGCCAGCAGGCCCAGCTCTCCGCCCCCGGCAAGCAGGCCAGAAGAGGCTTCACCTCGCCCTCTGTCCCCTCGCTCTCCAGCCTGAGCCTTGCCGCGCCCCAGCGCTCTTCGCGCTCGCCATCCCCCTCAAACACACACAAGTCTGCTTCGGGACCCCGCACATTATCTCGCAAGAGCTCGCGGAACGATGTCTTGCCGTCCCCGGGCTTGGGCTCCAGGAGGCAGTCGTGGCAGGACTCCAAAAGAAAAACTGTAAAAGAAAGGGAGGCAGAGTGCGACGATGAGGACGACGAGCTCCCTGAAGACGCTGTCATCTGGAATGTTCCCATCTCGCCGCGCCCTACTCAGGATCGGTCGCCAGCGTCATGGACCGGAGAAAGTCCGCCATTAATGTCACCGCATCCTGGTGTTTCTTCGTCTTCGAGGACATCGCCCGCACCCTCTGCGCGCGTCTCCCAGCGGACCCCCTCACCCAACGTTTCTAGCAGGGGCGTGTCTCCCCAACCCGGCGCACAGCAAAACACATGGGCCGAGACGTACACCGCGTTAGATACCGACGCCAAGTTGATCACAGAGAAGCTAGAGGAGTTCCAATCCGAGTTTGAGCGAAAGCAAGAAATCTCACGGCAACAGCCCGGTCTCACGCGTTCAGCGTCTATGAGCCAGCCAGAGCCAAAGAGCAAAAAACCAGCACTCCCGCCTGTTCGCAAGAGCGATCCTCTGATCGACCCTTTCCAGCCCTCAGTTGAGAAGCAGAAGTACCTCTCGCGCACCCGACCGTCATGGCTTCCGCCCAAGAACCCCAAGGAGGAGAAGAAGCACCTCAAGGAGTACCAGCGCATGTTGGCTCGTATCGAGGAAGCCGGTAAGTTATCTGCGCCTTCCGAGGCTCTATCTGAGACAATAAATGGCTGACAATCACAGAACGTCTTGAGGCTCAACGCGCCCAAGAGGAAGCCCTGGCCCGTGAAAAGGCCAGCCGCATCAAGGCTGAATACTGGTCGAGCTTACTGCTACCAAACTGGGCCACCGAGATGACCAACTCCGAGCTACGTGCCTCGCACAGGAAGATGTGGTGGAACGGAATCCCCCCACGGTTGCGAGGCCAAGTCTGGCAGAAAGCGATTGGAAACGACCTCGAGGTCACAGAAGCTACCTACAACATTGCCTTGGAGAAAGCACGCAAAGAAGTGAAGATACATGGCCACGAAGCGCTCGGAGGCCGCTATGTCTACATTGTCGAAAGCACCCAAGCAGTCTTCCCCGAACTCAAGATGTTTGCCGCACGAACGTCACAAGCGGCGGAGGACGAGCAGCCGCTGCATCGGGACCTTGTCGATGTGTGCCTGGCCTATTCGATGTACCGCCCGGACATCCCACACTCAAGTTTCGACATACATCACATCGCCGCATTGCTCTTATTGAACCTTGCCGCGCCGCAAGCCTTCGTCACCCTGTCCAATCTGCTCAACCGCCCGTTGCCACTGTCCTTCCTCATCCACGATCAAAACGCCATACACGCCGCCTACTCCACAACACTGCACGTTCTGTCGAAGAAAGCGCCCAGTCTGGCTCAACGGCTAGAGACGCTACGAGTTGAACCCAGAGACTACCTCTTCCATACCCTCGGCTCACTGTTCTGCGGTCGTCTAGGCGTTGAGCACGCCGCGCGCATCATGGACATTTACACCATCGAGGGCGACAAGAACGTCCCACGCGCTGCCGTCGCTATACTCAGTATACTGGAAGGCAGCTGCATGGAGGGTGACGCAGCGCAGGTTGCAAAGACACTTCGCGAGAAGAAGATTGAACTCGATGTGGACGAGTTCATGAACAAGGTGTTTGAAGCGGGCAAAAGCACGTAGACTAATACCGTCCATAGTCTTGGTGGTGGTTGATAGCAGCGGCGGTCAACAGAAAGTATTAATACCGTATTGTACAGTTGAGACAGAAATAATCGACCCATTACAATAATCACCCATGGAAGAGTAAGAGAGAATAAGAAACAAGGGACACCAGAAGAAAAAGATCGATGATATACGAAGACTCATGCAGCGCGACTTGGAGCTGAACATACACCATTTACCTGTTAATTTCCTAGCCTCTTTGCATACACAACCGGCGTTTTCGATCTTTCCCTTGCGTTCTTTGCATACACGGAGTTTGTCACTTTTTATCTCGTTCAACCCATGGAAAGGCTCGTTTTTTGCGCCATACAATCAATTGTCTTCCCTTATCTATCTTTGTATATAACACACGCAATTACTCTTAGACAATTGGGAGGAAGCGAAAACCGGGTAGGTGAGTAGCTGAGCTTAGAATTTATAATCGCACAACAAACATGGTCTCGATCTTTTATTGTTGCATGTGCGAGACTGGTTGGATTGTGTTTTACTGGAGTGACCCCTCCTTTCACATGTCGAACCTAGTGGCGGGGGAAAGTTTGTGTTAGTGGTAACGGTCAACGGTGACGATAATGGGCGGGAGGCGTTATCGTGGCGTAGCTGATGGGCGTGGGAAAGGGGAGCCCAGGAACTAAGGGCTTCTCGGCTCTCGTATATAACGGCCGCGGGAGGGGCGTATCTGCATAGTGCAATGTTGCAATCTCCGAAGAGAGACTATCTGCTCGAGGCATTTTTGTGGCTGCTGGCAGGGCATGGAATGTTGTGTGTGCGTTGTGTCTTTTGTGTTGCTGAGAGCTGGCTTTGGC